GCCTGTCCTGTATGTAGTGTGATGGCACTCAAGAGGATCTGCTCCACATCCTTCACTAGCATCAAGGTGAAACTGACAGGTACTTCCCCAGATGCTCCTTTCGGCCCTTCCTGTAGATGGGCATCACATTTGCCTATCACCAGTCAGCTGGGACCTCCCTGGTTAGCCAGGACTGCTGGTAAGTGATGGAAAGTGGCTTAGTGAGCACTTCCACCAGCTCCCTCAGTACCCCTGGGTGGATCATATCTGGCCTCAAACTTGTGTGTGTCTAAATGGTGTAGCAGGTCACTGTTTCCCTTTGGATTATGGCAGCTTCATTCTGCTCCCTCTCCCCATCTTCCAGCTCAGAGACTGGGTATCTGTAGAACAACAGCTTACTATTAAAGACTGAAGCAAAGAAGGCATGAAGTACTTCAGCCTTCTCCTCACCCTTTGTCACTATTTCCCCCTTCTCCCCACATCCAATAAAGAATGAAAGTTCTCCTTAGCTCTCCTTTCATTGCTAGTGTATTTGCTAACGTATATATACAAACATTTAGACAGAAACATTTACAGTCCTCAAGAGGTGAGAAGGAATTTCAGTGGCAAGAATAAACCTCTCACTGAAAAAACGTTTATAATACCATACTTAAGGAGCGAGCACACAAGTAGGAATGCTAACGTTCTTTATATAGATACCCATTTCACATGATAGTCGTGTTTTACCAAGAGGGTGTTCAGTCAGTCAGATTAAGAACTGTGACACTAGAGATCCTGTATAGTTTTTTCACTAGGAACTGCTACAACACTGGCCTGCAAACTGACCTGGCCCTAACTCCTATACATAGTCCTAAGGAAAGACAGGGAGAAGTACAGAATCTGTCCATATATTCTAGATACTCAGCAGATGTTTGCAAGGTGAGAAGAGGGACAGGCCGTAGATTACTCCATCCCAGTTACTCTAGTAGCCCCCATACCTATGGAGAGTAGGAATGGACAAGAAGCTCTAAGAAGCAATACAGTAAGACCTTCAGCCCTGCTTGACCCCATCTCACATTCTGTGCATTGCCATGTAGAGAACTAGCAGAACACATGACAAAGTATCCCTGCTTCTAGGAAGGACACCATACCCATTACCAGACAAATCTCAACTAAGGAAGGCATCTGTCCAATACTGAACTCTAATCAATAGTACTAATTATTAAATTGGAAAGCACTTTCCCTCCCCAGTCAGCTGCACTTCTTGAACATTGAAGGCTCACAGCACCTAAACTATTCATTTTTTCCAAAGGAAAAAACAAGACACACATGGTGGGAAACCTATGGCTGAGTCTGGCAGAGAACTCCACACTCATAACTTTTGCCAGTCTTTTAGGAAGGAAATGCCCATGTAGCACAACAGACTGCTTAGTAGTCAAAAAGGGAAGTGAAGGAACAAACCAATTAAGTTTTTTACTATGGCATGTAACAAGTGTGTTATTTATCACCAACAGAAACAAAAAATTACAGCAATAGACATAAAGGCTAAAACCAGACAATGCCATATGGAGCCCCACACTATACTGAAATCAGTTTTAGGCTCTTAAAATAAAATATGGTAGAAATCGTGTAAAATTCACCCTTGTCTGAATTATAACAGCTAAATTAGATTAGATTTCTAAAATCTATATCCTAGTCTAACAAAAAGACATTTGATCAGCAAGCAGAACACAGCTGACATTAGCTAGGAAGGCGACACAACAGTGCTCCTCTCCAGCCTTATAAATCTATGGCCTTAACAGAGTGTGCCACTGTACTCCCCCTAAACAGTGACTGCATGCTAAACAAACTGCTGATCTGCTACCACAGTACCCTTCCTCAGAGTACTCTGCCTCCAGATGGATGCCTTTAACACACAGTAAAGTACCCAGACAACATAAAGCACATTTAGATCTTAAGGCAACTGCAAACTGTTCACTGCCGTGTGTAGAGGCTACACACTTACCTTAACAACATTCCAGGAAATTCAAACAGGCCTCAACATACTCTAGTCACCTCAATGTGAAAAGACGAAGAGTGATTCACAGGTACTCTTGAAAGAGCCTTATTTGACTGATGGTTTAATGATACAGCAACCTTACAGACTAATAACAAGAGGAAATAAAAGGATCTGGACCACTATAATAACAATCAATATCGTAACATTTTATATTACTATATAAATATTAATATCCAATTATATTAAATTTATTTAGTATATTAAACATTATTATGAATGTTACTGATATTTTTATTATTAATAATATTATTAGCTGTTCATGAAGGATATCTATCTTGCGACATTCTGAAGTGAAAACACTGAAAAGGCTTGTACATTAACCAAGGTTCTTTTTTCTAAATAGAGCGCATCATCACTCGTGGCTATTTCCTGAAGTCCATACAGCTGTTCTGCTCTTCATCTTTGACAAATAATTCACTTAAATATGCAGTAGGTTGTGCTTATTCATAGTAATGAATAAGGAATATATGTATTCCTCCTGCCCCTGTATTACCCATTTTTAGCTTTTTTGGTATCCCACAAAAGCTCCCAATATTCTTGACTTACCTTCATACTTTGGGTTATATATAACCCTATAAATACACAAAAAGTTTGGAATACACATGGAATACACATGTTCTAGAGTCTATGAGGAAGATGTACGGGCTCAAAGAGGAGTGAGGATGGCAAGTCTGTAAAAAGCACAGGCACGTGTGAAGACTCAAATGTTTGACCTGCAGGAAACCACAAAGGCAAGCAGGTTATTTATTCCATGTTCTCCAGTAACAGCTGGTATTCTTGAATCCTGAAAAAAAAAAAAAAAACCCAAAAACACAAAACCCAACCACACTTCTGCATACAGGCAGAACTTTGTTTTAAATCAGTATCGCAGGATAGCAGGGGGTCTTGTGGTTTTGTCAAGAATCCTTCTCTTTTATGTTTTTGCCTCGGCAGGTTTTGATGCACCAGTTCACCCTCCAGGTATTCATTCCTTCTTCTGTGAGCATCAGCTTTGAAGTACCAAAGGATAGGATGAGGAAAGCTTAGATTTGCAGAGTAAGATCAGAAGCTCTTTTGTTTTAGATGTTGGACTTCAGTTTATACACATTTTTATTTATACAGAAAGGCTCAGTCATTGGCTAGCTGTACCTAAAACTAGTCAAATCTGTTTAAAGGCAGCTGAACTGAGCTGTAGGACTTAGTTACAGGTATTTTAAAAGCAAATACAATATAGTAAGCCTAAAAATTTAAGACAATTTTCGAAATTAATTTAAAAACAAATTAGATATATTACTAATTTTTATACTTGACTCAGAACAAACATTCATTGCTAACCTGATGCCAAATTTCAATCCTTTCACATGATTTGAGGAACACCACTGAAGGCTTTAGACCCAAGAGTATGTGGGACTTGCCAAGCTTTTCCTTGCTTTAAGTTAGGTCTCTAGGAGAGAGATTTTGTCCATTACAATCAGCAGCTGCCCCTCCACCCCCAAATCCAAGTTTAAGCTATGACTTCATGGGTTAGAACTGTCAGTACTCAGCAGTCAATTATACGTCAGATTATCAGTCAAGAGTATGAAGTCACAAATGCTTAGAGTCCAAAGCTCCTGATGTCATAGCGGATAAAATGACTACAGCAATGGAAATGAATTACTGAGATCTTAGGTAAAAAACCTTATCTTAGCTGCCTAGAGCAACTTCTCTCCAACCAGTAAAGGAGCCATAGACAAAGATGAAAAACCCACCACTTGCAAATATTTATGCAGCATCTCAGTTCTCTTAACTACTGCAAAGAAGTTCTCATGCTAAAGCTCTCGCCAGTTCCTAGAACACAGATACAGTTCCTGTTAAGTTGTCTGGGAAGAGACCAGCATCTTCCTCTTGTAGCACAAGAGATCTACAAATAGAACATAAATAGTTGAGCGACCAGCTTGTAAGGCAGAAGGGGAGATTACACCTTAAAATTAATGAAAATATGAATATTAATCCTAGCCTTAAGATCGAGAACAGGAGAATGTTTACAGATGTAGGGAACACTTTGTTATTTTAAGCTTACATATCCAAAGGAGATACTGTTCAATCAGCTGCAGGCTTAACACATCTTTCAACCAACCCATGCTTTTAACTCCAAGCTAACACTTACAGGTACAATAATCAAGCCTACATCATGCTGATTTTTTAAAAAGAAAAAATGCAAGCCACTCAGAAAACAAGAGGTCAAAGCACCTAACTCAGTTTCTTCTCTTTCCTCACAATGTTGTATTTTCTACTCTCCAAGTTATGCTAAAAGCAATACATAAATAAGCACAATGCACAGCATTCTTCAGAGCTGACTGCTACTAGACTTCCTGGTAGTCTAATATCCAAATCAAGTATTCCCCCTTAATACTTGCACTTACCCAATACTTACCCAATTCTACAGTAGACCACTGAAAAAGCAAACTGGTTCACATTTGAGGTTAGAAGTATTTTAATTCTACCTAACTTCTTTCCACTCTCTGCTTATACCACCTGTATACAGCAATGGCTGCAAATTAACACAAAAGTTCTCCTACAGAAAGGTGTACAAACTACATATATGAGATTTTGAGCAAACTTGCCCATAATGACCACAAGAGATTGTACAGTTACTTCTGTTAAGTTACCACATTTAGGGAAAAAAGACATTTCCAGTTCTCTCTAGTCAAAAGCTAGATTAGAGGGAATTGTGAAAAAAAAAAAACCATGCATATTTATGTATCATTTCTAAGACAGATAACTGCACAGCATGTAAATATACTGAAAGTATGCTTCCCCTAGGCACACTATGAAGGCTCCAGTGCTTATCTGGGTTGGTAGATGGAGTTTGTATATGTAGGAAAAGTTAGCAATAAATACCATGTGTCACTAGGATGCAATGACAAACTTTAACTCACTTCAGTCATAGTATTAATCAAGATTTGATTTCAAAACAAATTTGGTAGTCAGCAGGGAAACATTTAAGTATGGATACTTTAAGCAGTAACATTTCTTAAGTGTTTTATTGCTACAAATTGGTACATCATATCACAAAAAAAGCTACAAGGCATAGGATAACACATACTCTATTATACAGAGTGCAATGCAGTCCCCAAAACAGCCACACTCAACAGCACAATTTCTGAAGTTATTCATTCTGTACTAAGAGGTAAATAATGAGCTTATGCCATAGGGCATGTAATATATTTACCCCACAGACCTGCCTTTCTTGTCAACTGATTAGACCAAAAATTATTATTATATCCAACTTTCAATACACACACCAAAAAAAATAGAATGCTTAAAAAAATATACAACACAGGGCTTTAATCAGCTTTAACAGTCAGTTTTCTACAAAAAGCTCAATTAAAATAATCTTGATTTTGTTTGAAACAAAATCAGAAATACAGAGGAATTACATAAACAAGTTCTCCATGGAATGGAATGCATGCATATGGTGGGGAATCTTCAACAACTTCATTGGAGACTATTAAAAAGTCTGAGCCCTCTTAGAGCAGAAATAAAAAGCTGTTTTGCCCCCCTAATATAGTTTCATTTTCTTGCACTTAGTTATCTTCAGTGTGGTCTAAAGTGAAGTCAGTTTGTTCTTCATTTTCTTCTTCCTCTTCCTCCTCTTCTTCTTCAGCCTCAGCTGGTTCATCGGCTTTCTCCTCTTCTTCTGTCTGCTGCTCTGGAGCCTGATCATTCACTTCAAAAGGATTTTCACCCTGAAGCAGAAGACGGAAAACAAATACTGTCATATTTATTTGAAACACAAAATACTACTCATTGTTTCAATGAATGAAAAGGTCAGCCACTAAGAAATGCTGTGATATTTTATAAAGCTTTTTAAGAGTTTGTTCTGGGGTGTTTTGGTTGGTTGGTTTTGAAGTGTTTTCCCATCCAAGAAAATAAAAACAGATTTGATTTAAAATCAGCAACACTTCATTGGGATCCCAATAAACTGTTGTAATGAAAGCAGAAATGTCATTGAAAAAAAGCCAAAATATGCTACATACAAACTCCAGTCTAACTTGAACATTCAGTCAAATAAATTACATGGTCAAGTTTCAACATGTTTTTATGAAGAACTGTAACTGCTTCCTTTTTCTCCCCAATTCAAATCAAATCTGAAGAGTTTCGTTCTGCTTTCCTTTCCAATAATCTTTATTCACTCCGAATAATTCTATCAAAAAAATGCAAACTTCAGCAAATAGAAATCCAGAATTAACTACACTGACTAGCCTGAGATTCATTCCATTGCTGATCTAGACAAATTATCAAGCAGATTTCTCAGAAAGTATTTTAAATACTCTATTTTCATATTTTCTCTATTTCCTACAATAATTCAAGACATACCTCAGCTTTCCCTTGTTTCAGATATTTAAGAACTATGATTTATCAATAAAGAATTACTACATGAAATATAGAAGAACTCCTTCGCTAAAGCTCCTTTCACGTTTAAATGGCTTACAGAGCAAGTCTGATCTGAACAGATCACATGAGCTACATGAGACTTGGGAATACAAGAATATCATTTAAAGGAGGATCCAAAAGGAAAAAATTGAGCACTAGGCCCTTTGTCCTTTGTTTGCTTTAAATATTTTGCTTCAGTTACATTTTACAGTTGTTGAGTCCAATTAATTAATAGCCTAATCAAAGACATACTACCACATGTAAACCTCATGAATAAGGTAGTATTTAAACTTCTTTAAGATACTAAACTTGGCTTTTTTTAGATGTAGTTCCTCAGGGATTAGAAGTAGACTGTCATAGGTAAAGGTCAAGTACACAGAAAGCTGGTATCATAACTTGTATGAGCCCCATGAAAACAAGAAAAGCCCCATCTCATTTAAAACTCATGGTGCTTTTAGATGATCCACTATGACTGTTTAGCACCATGTGTCTATAGAACACCAAGGACTATTTCACTGAATAGCTACAGACTCCAACACTGAAATATCAAAAATATTTGCTAGCTCTGCAAACCATTTCATGAAAAAAACACATGAAAAATATGACTGCCCAAACCACTTCAATTACAACATCAATAGAAAGCATTGTGAAATACAAAAAGACAGCATCCAAACCTTAATTCAGTAACGATTAGTGCAACTCCCCAAAAAATGTACTTTCCTTTTTGGACAGAAGTGTGAAAGACCCCTGAGTGCAAAGCTTGTGGTGCCATTTCTATGAGGTTTAGCAAAACATTGTAAATCCCATTTGGGTACTGAACTAAGGATTTCAGCCAGACAGAAATAAGCTAACTACCGAGTTAAGACTACTTCACCTGGTCAGCTTCAAAGACATGTTCACCAGTAGACCTTACAGAGGGAAGACTTGCATATTAAGAGCAAAAGAAAACAAAAATGTGGCCTTTCTCTATAAATGATTCACAAAGAGATCAGAAGCCCTTTTACAGGTCTGATACAAAAGGAAATATTCAAATCCTCTCACGTCTAAATTAGGCACAATGATGAACTCTAGCTAAAGAATGCAATTTTAAAAGGACTACTTCCACACTCCTACAGATGACTTCTGACTGTCCCTGATTCTTAGGGACAAACTACAGGAAACTGCTACATTTCACTCCTGCGAAGACAGTATGACTAACCTAGCGGAACTGGATTCAGCACACTACTTCTGCCTAAACACATCTCTACACAAAAATAACAAAAAAAATAAGGTTGCTTTCCCCAGCTATTTTTTTCCTGAGAAAAATGCATGTTTCAAGTACTCAAACTAAGGAAAAAGTTACTGTCCTCAAGGGGAAGATCCTAACGACTGTGTTCTTTTCCAGTGATGTAGCATCAGAGGCATGCAGTGCAGGATGCAGAGTCAATTTTGATGCTAGTTGATTCTGACAGCCACACTGGTCCCATCTTCCCAGATGGCTTTAAAAAAACAAAACGAAACAAGAAGCCAAGGACACAGGCAGACCACTGAACTGCTGCAGAAAGACTTTATGAAGCCTACAGATAAGTGGTTTACTCCCCAGAGATGCATTCTTTGAGTTGTCTCTAGAATATTTAAACTGCAGAGAAACCTTAAGACTGTGAACTGGTATTTACAACCAAAGCTTTGGAATTTGTATGTTCTCAGAAACCACTCTATACATGTTTATAAAAGGTCTTACAAACTTGACCCAAAAAGTCTCCAAAGTCCACCTACCTAACCAGCAAACTTCTGAATGGCTTCAGTAATATACTATATCCCAGGACTAGCTGAACATGTGTTAGAAAATGTCAAACTCCATGACGCTTCTCTTGAGCAACATCCAAGCAGCTTTTAATCATGAACATCAACCTATCTAGGAAGTTCTAAATGGTCCAAAATTAGAGACAATCACAACTTCATCAAGCAATAACATTTTAACTGAGAAACAGATGATTTTTTTTTCCTCCTTACTATAAATGGAGTTGCTACAGGCTCATAAATCTTCTAAGATGATTGTTTCCGACTGGCTAGCAGGTGGGTTGTAGTAAATTTCCTCCACTCTTTACAATATGGATGGAAAAGAATAAGAAGTGAAGAACTTTAAAAACACCTAACCATACAAAGAGTACACTGGAAGCATAAAAGGGTACTGTACAAGACCAACACTGGGGAAACAGAGGGCTCTTTAATAGAATGGCCAAGGTAAGAGAAAGCTTTCAAAGTTCTTCGATTAAAATACCCGATGAAGAAGATACCAAAGAAGAGATTAAGAGTAAAGGTTCCTTTCATGCAAAGGACAGGATGCAAACAATATGCTGTTAACTGAAGCACTGAATTGGATTTTCAAATACAGGAACTGGGAAAAAAAAAAATAAATAATGGACTAAGTGTAAAAGACGGTCACCATAAGAACCATAAAGATCATGTGCAAGGCTTGACAACTGGAATCCTCAGCTCTGGCACAGTAGTTTTCAGGAAACTTTGTTTTTTTTCCTTTCTGTTCCTAACTCTAGTCACTGACCGTAAGCATAACGAATATCATAATTTTAATAAAAGACGAGGAGCTCCACTAAAGCCACATCATCAAATTTACTAATGATGTCTTCCATGGAGGTTAGACATAAACTGTAACTGACTTGAAACAAACAAAACCCAAGTGATTATCTTAGGCTAATTCCACACAAATCCTTCCATTTTCAGTGAACATGACAGGCACCTTTACTGTATTTAAAAGCTTCATAATTAAGTGCTTAAATATGAAAATATTTCATATCTCTGCTTTCCTTCTCACAGTGCAAATTAGAAGCATGTAGTTAAAGAAAAAAACATTAGTCAAGTGTTTCTAGAACACTACATTCCAAGCTGTAAGTTCGTTAAAAACGGCTGCATCTATCTACTTGCTTTCCTTTTGCACATACAACCACCACCATGTGGAGCAAACAACCTGTGGAACAGGAATGATTAAACCCAAGAGCTAAAAAGGCTTTCCATTGGGTAGAGGAAAACACGACGGGTAGAATGGCGTTTTATTCAAATGAAGTGGCCAGGGTGTCCCAAGGAAAACAGCAGTTGTTACTGCTTATCAGCTGGCTTACTTCAGAAGTCACAATCTACTCTCTCCTTTTCAGTCAAACATAAGCCAGACCCTTCAACCTTGAGAAGTCTTATGCAACACTACACACAGCACATATCCTCAAAATTGACAGTCAGCCAGCCTAAATTACATTCAATAGTCATTCTCCAAGCAGTTACTTGGCAGATTTGTGGGGCAATTGAAATGACTTAAGCAAAATTTTTCACACAAAACTACAATGGGGGAAAGTGGGTTCAAAATACTGACTGTGGTAGAGATGAAGGAATACCAACTCTCAGCAGAGTGTGTTTCTAAAAGACGGGGCTTCTGCCTCAATAGAAACAGAGCTTTCCCTAATTCAACTTCATCTGGGATACGCACCTCTTCTAGGCCACATGTTCAAATAACACACTTCCCAATATGGACACAAAAATTTTCAGCAGAAAAATCTTTCATCTTATTGGCTCATGTGAAGCTATGTTAATATGGATGCATAAAAAAAAAAAAGTCAGGAGTTACTGACCTGCAATTTTGTTCTCCTTTTCTCAAAGGCATTTCTGATGTTGATGACCTGCTCCTGCAATCTGGTACAACTCTACGCAACAGCCTCATAGGTCTTCCCTGCTCTGAATTTCCTCCTTCCATGCTACATATGCAGGATAGACAACACTTTCCAAACAAATGTTGGGTTTGAGTGAGCCTGGGTTTGTTTTGGGGGTGGCTGTTTTGTTTGGGTTTGGTTGGGAGGTAGGGAGCCTTGTTTCCCCAAGCCAGTCTGCCCTTCACCTCAAAGCAAGCTATTTTCAGCTGTAACAAGGATTTCCTACTCTCCTCGAAGACTGCAGGCACCAAATGCATGCACCACATGCTCCTTTTCATCATATGCTGTATAATAAAACTGGACTCCTTCAGTCTGCGTTTAATTACATATCTGGATGAGGATGACAGGGATTTGCATAACCAGAAGCCAGATATCTCGCTGAGCAGGTGCTGCTGAAAGTGTATTCAAAGTCAGGAATCAATTTCTCCAGGGAATACCAGTTCTGGCAGTGGTCTCCTTGCGAAGGCATTCTCAGTTTTCCAACTGATGAATGGCCATTTCCATTCCCCATTTATCAGTCCCCCACTAGGGGGCTGTACGGGATAACGCACATGCATACCAGGCCGTAAGGAAGACCAGAAGGGATGACTGCAAATAACATACACATTCCAGGCTGAGCTGTGACTTGCTACCTTTTCTGAACAGCTACAGAATAGTTGTTGGCTGTGCGAATCAGTTTCAGACCATATATAACTTTGCAGGACATGACTAATTTGGTACTTTAAGCCACAACTGATTTCTGCACTGGCTCACACCTTGTCGTATTTCTACAACACAGTTATTGCTTTGCCTGAAAGAGTCTATTGTTTGGGCACAGACAAAATTATAAATCCATTAATAGTAACTACTAGAAATAGCTAACAATGGTACTATGGAAAAAGTCACCTTTGTTGGCCCAACAGAAAGAAACCCACGTTTTGATAAAATTGATTCACATTTGTTTCTCAGGCCATATACCTGCAACATAAGCTGCATGCCTTTTAAATTCTCTGATCATGACAAAGTCCTGTAAGCTTTCATCTTTTGTATGATCCCACAAATCCTAGAAATTCTACAGAATACAAAGTAGCCAAGTAGTGTGTGAACTGATCTTTAGTACAAAACCACATGCTAGAGCCTTTGCTTCTATGTATCAAGGCTGACTCGCCTGTAAAGTGGTCTGTGCTCCACAGTTAGTATTATGTACACAGTTATAGATACTACTGATGCTTTCTTTAAGCTTGATTTTCTTAATAAGAGCATCTAATTAAAAAATGACTAGATATAAATACAAATATTAAACCAAAAGCTGTCAAATCCAATTTTGGCCGCAAACAATCTGAAATTACCCGGGACAACAATCTGAGACTGGCAAATTAAGTTACAAGTATATTTGATCTGTGAGCTACCTAGTAGGCAAAACCAGAAGACAGAGCACTGAGGTTAAACTCTTTACCAGGACAGAGGAAATAATGATACAGCAAACATTACTGATTATGCTTTTTCCTGTTGGGGTCTTACCTTCACATACAGCTCATATCGTGCCTTGACTATAGGATTATTCAAGATGCTAGTGGCAGTAAGAACACTCTCTCTTTTTATTTGTTCTCTGTAGGCCTAGGAAACAATTTTTACAGTGAATAATTATCATACCCCATTACAAGTGTCACACAAATTTGAATTCATGGCCATTATGTTTACAAAGTGTAACAAGGACATTCTAGCCTTCTAGAGAACAATGCCAACAAGAAATTACAAGTTACTTGCACTGAGTCCCATTAACACTTCTCACCTACTATTAGATTATGCTTGCCTTTAAAAAGTGACATATCTTACTTGTTTTCCTTTTGTGTGATCAGGAGATTTTAAGTGCTGCTGAACAGAACTGTGTAATGCAGGAACATACACACTGCAAGCACTGCAGTGAACAGTCTCAACTTTCATCATATGGTCATCGGCAGTAACCCCTGCCAAAAAAAGATTCAATAAATTAACACAAAATGTGTTGTTATTCTAGGTAAGCAGAAGAGGTTTTGTACTATAAAACCAGAGCTCTCGGTTGTTAATCATGTCAAACTGAACCACACAAGAATGTTCATCTAAATTCAGGCATCAAAACTAGGCTCTCTGAAAGCAATGCTAAAGGAGGAAGTTTTGCACTTGGATACTCCAGCTCCTGTCCACAGGCTATATATGACACTCGGGCATTATGTTTGCTATCTGTAATTATATGAATTCCTACCTATCTAAAGAGGGAAATTAAAATCATACAACAATCAAATTGAACTATTTAAACTATAAAAATGCCATCTATTAAAAAAATCAACAATAACTATTATCCTTAATAATACACATTTTGACGCAAGAAACAATCAGAGCTTCACCAAAGCAGTTGGATTTACTTTCCCCTGTAAGAACTGATTTATTTCCTTGCCTCCCCTCACCACCAGGAGGTGCATGAATCCAACTCCTCTTGCAATTTTAAGTACTGCCATGCCAACAAAACATTCTGATCATGAAAGCAAACAGGCCCCCCAGTTCTTAAGGAAAGTACTGCATCAAAAGGAGCGTGACCAGGAGGTCAAAGGAGGTGTTCCTCCCCCTCTGCTCTCGTGAGAGGTTTCTTGGAGTACTGTGTACAGTTCTGGTGTCCTCAACATAAAAAGGACACGGAACTGTTGGAATAAGCCCAGAGGAGGCCATGAGGGTGATCAGGGGACCGGAGCACCTCCCATATGAAGACAGGCTGAGAAAGTTGGGGCTGTTCAGCCTGGAGAAGAGAAGGCTGCGTGGAGACCTCATAGCAGCTTTCCAGTATCTGAAGGGGGCCTATAGGGATGCTGGGGAGGGACTCTTCATTAGGGACTGTAGTGACAGGACAAGGGGTAATGGGTTAAAACTTAAACAGGGGAAGTTTAGATTGGATATAAGGAGGAAGTTCTTTACTGTTAGGGTGATGAGGCACTGGAATGGGTTGCCCAGGGAAGCTGTGAATACTCCATCCCTGGTGGTGTTCAAAACCAGACTGCACAGACTTCGGTGACACGGTTTAGTGCGAGGTGTCCCCGCCCATGGCAGGGGCATTGGAACTAGACGATCTTAAAGTCCTTCCCAACCCTAACTATTCTATGATTCTACTCAAAAAGGATTTGAAAGTTTGTTAAGATCCAGACTATATCAGTTTTTAAGTAGCTTTTAGAATTTAAATTCCAATTAAGGTAATATCCAAACACAGTTATTGCCTGAAGTAAAGTACTCAAACATTGTCCCCTATGGCTCTAGCACATCCTTTGAAATCCCCCAAGCAAAGGATAAGGTGGAATGATACGGTACAGAAAGGCAGGGACATACAAAATGCTCTAGAAAACTGCCTGTAGGGCAAGCAAGGGGAAAAAAGAAAAAAATTAGGCCAAGATGCATCTCAGGTAGCCAAGAAATTAATCAAGCTCCTTTTTTGTCAGTGTCCCTCAAAACCACTATTGTACTTACACTATCCAGATCCCTGCCATCATATTTGACTCTTATCACCTTACTGCCTTATTACACACTTTCTCACAATCTATCTTCATTCACTTGTTGCCACTCCTCATGCATTATACTGAGTAAGATGATGGCAAAGTCCACATAATTCTGTTTGCCAAGTACTTAGAACAATGTCATCTTACTTTCTGACATCACTACCTGGACAGCAAACATAAATAAGGTTTGCCATCTCCCATTGTGCTGACATTCCACATGGTATCAGAAACAAAGCAAGGAATCCCCACCAGGTAACAGAAAAGGTGTGGAAACTCATCATTTTGATTTTATCAAAGAAGAATGAAAGGAGAAAAGGACACGCAGAGATCCACAGTATGCATTTTCACATAAAAACCATTACTCACCTTCCATTATATCTTTTTCAGCAGCTTGAGCATTTTCTGTTTGGTTACTTGTCTGCTGCTTACGCAGAGCTGTCTTCTTGAATTTATTCACCATACATTCCTACAGAGAGTTGGATAAAAAAAAACCTCCAGCATGTTTGATGTATGATGGTTTATATTCCAGTAAGAATCTATACTTAAAACAGAATAGCCCTGTAATAAATAGCAATTAATTGCTTTAACTTCTTAAGGAACTACTTTGTCAAAGTAACACTATTTTACAGACTCTGAATTTACTTCAGTTTTTAATAACATGTGTTGTGCCAAAAGTCATCTGCAATGATAAAGTAAGCACTGGTAAATTTTAAGGACATTCTAATGTAAAAGCATTATACTGATCAAAAAGCAGTTGTCTTACATGAAGAAATTCCATGACTACTTTGTCAAATTTGGTTTGCTTCTGGATATGATCCAATGTTTCCTGGTGGGCTGCACTCTCCAGATGTGCCTCAATTTCTTTCTCTTCAAATGTTCGAAACTTGCAAAATGAGCAAGTAAATGCCATTCTAGCAAGAGAAAAAACAGCAAACAGTATTACTATTACAGAAACATTCCTCCCTCTTTCAGCAAAACTATGAAGACTTGACAAACCTAATCAGAAAAGGGAAAATGTTCATTAAAGAAGCCTAAGTGAAAAAGCAAAACTGCAGTATTTCACATGAAGGGTAACTGCTACAAGAGCCAAACATAAATGAGGCTAGTCTCAATATGAATTATCTATGCAGAAGATGAAAACTGCTGAAATCAGAAGCTAACCATTTAAAAGCCACATTATTCTGTGAGTTTATCTATCACAGCTCTCTAGTTTGTGTCACCTTTTGTAGGACTTCTCAGAGTCAAGCCCAGTTCATGATTTGCTAACTACAAATAATCAAAATAATTCACTTAAAGCTCATTTTAAAATTAAAAACTATATAATTTTTTAAGGAAATATGGCCACCTTAGTACAATGGCACTAACACTATGATCATATACTGCACTGATACAGAAGACTTTTGTACAGTGCTGGTCATTAGCCTGCTTGGCTGTGGAAAGACTAAGAAAAGTTACAGAACAATCTACTTATTTTTGTTATACAACAGCTCACCATACATAGGAAACCAGCATAAAGACAATTTTTAACAGCTTATTAAATCAGCATGAATTTATATTTAACTGAAATACATACTTCAAAAGCAGTAACATTCTAATCTGCTTCTCAACTGTGCACTGATGCATATTTTGTATTTTCTGATAGAGCAGAGGTCCAGTGAAACATCCAGTCTTCTAAGTCGCAGGATTTGGGTGCTGGGTTTTGGTTCAAGATATTTTTCTTTGTTTAGACTAGTTTCTGGACTTTGTTTTGGGGTGGGGACTCTTGGGGGCTGGTTTTTTGCTCATTTCTTCATTACGTTTTATTTTGATAAAATCAGTCCAAAGTGGCTTTGAGGAAATAAGACATATTCTAACAGAAGGATAAAGGAGAAGAAAAACAATGCCCACAAGACAGAAGGTAACACCAACCTGTATCCATCACCATATTTTTCACTGTTCTTTTCCCTTCTACGCCTTTGCTTCTCTCTTCTGGCCTCAATTCGGCGCTTTTCTTCTTCCTCACTTTTAGCTTCTCCTTTGCCATCTTAACATACAGAAGAAGGATTCAAAAGTTTTATGTTAAAAAAACCAAACCAAAACAACCACACAAAAAATAGCCGCACACCAAAAAAAAAACCCAACAAGTAAAAGTCTCCATCTTCCCTGTCTCCTCCAGAAACACATTAGAATGCAGAGAAAGACCCTATACTGAAGTGGTTCAATGGCACATTTAAATGCCATAGAAGTTTCAGCTTGGTTTCCTCCTCTAAAGACAACAAATTTAAACTTAACTTAGTAGTTAAGGGGTTACACTATAGATTGCACTCATGAAATGAAGGGAATTCAGAGTTAAAGCAAACCCTACCCTCTTGTGCCTAGTTATTAAGAGGCCTCTTCAAGGAGGTGACCAGAAAAGGGTACTTGGGGATGCACGGTGAGAAATACATCACTTAAAACTCTCCATGGTTTTAGGGTACCATTGCTACAATCCCCTGACATAAAAAGAAAGTATCTAAAGCCATTCTCTTCTGCTGAAAAGGCAGTTTCAAAAAAAAAAAGGCAAAGTTTCTCATAAAGAAGATGAGGCAGTGTTTCATTAAGGTATGGTACCCAACCTGAACTTCAGCAACTTTATTATGTTTCCCCACTAGACTTCACAGAAAAATGTTCCAGAGATTTTAAGTTGAAGAAATAAACGAGTGAGAGCCAGAGGGGGTACAAACAAATAAATGACTACTTTTGCAACATTAAAGACTTATAAGGACATTGACTTTTGCCTAAGTGTACTTATACCTTTCCTATGTCTGCTTTAAAAGCCTACAGATAAAGGGAAACAATCAGAACATTACTCAGCTAGTTTTAGAGCAGGAAAAAAAGGGTGCAGTTCTACCTTAGGAGAGAGGTCAGCCTCCATCCAAATTGTGACAGAAAGGAACATACAGCAGCAAAATGCAAAAAAAGACTCACAAAAAACTCTGTGGCTTTAGAAGTGTCACCAAGTACTGAGAACATTTCCACTGACTGACAGCTTTCGCCCCATTCCTGATTATCCCAAGGTTTTTCATTTTGCAGCAGAGTTTCAAAAACTATTCTAATCTGGAGAGGAGAAAAACTCCTATCCTAAAGATAGAGCCAATTCCCATTACTGATTTCAGGCTTTAAATTTCACTTAGTGTGTTACCACCATCCATGGAAATATGCAAAGGATCTCACTTTACTGCTGTAAAAATCATCTGTATGACATTCTGTGGAGCGAAATGGCCTATGCCTTGCCCCTAAAGCTCACAGTTCCAAGAGCCCATCCTGTTACAAGCTGAGAAATGGATGACCTGAATCTACAGATAAACTAGGACTCCACAGTGGGGCTCCCACTTCAGTATTTCAAGGAGACTCTGATCAGCTGGCTGCAAAATTCCAGCAGTCCTCAGCATCAGATTAGACTACACGTGCAATAGGGCAGCTCACAAAGGGAAAGGGGACTAAAGATAGTTTCAGCATTAACACTAGATTTCTTGTACATTTGTTTGAGATTGCTACAGTTAACACACTTCAACTGACTTCATGTAACTAAATAGATACTTCAACTGATTTTATGCAGACTAATAATTAACCTGTTTCATTAAGACAGCACATGAAATAGACCAGGTGTTCCTGAGACCAGCTCTCAAAGTTGACTAAATCCACTTACAAAAATGACTAGCCTACAATTTAAGGGTGAGGTTAATCAGCTAGTGGGATAAAAGGATATGGGTGAAGAATTGGTGGGATTAACAACATTTAAGCAATGGAATGGCAGTAAGTACAGAAGACCATTACATTAAGAAAAACAAATCAAACTATAATATACAGAGATGATCAGAAAACAGAGAAAAATGGATGGATGGTATAAACAGTCATCTTCTCCATGGCCTGCATATATAAACTCTTAAAAGAAAGAAAGCAATGCTATTTAGTAACAATTAGAGGTCATACATACAGGCTTACCAAATCTAACCAGTCACAAAAATACTATACCTATCATACCTTACTGGACAAAGCAAACTGACTTACCTCCAAAAGTCTGATATCCAAGATCATAAGCATCTCTTGTAAAGTCTTCATATATAACAACTGCACCACTTGTGTCCACTTCAATTTCCTAATAAAGTCAAATCCATAAACTTAAGAAAAAAAAAACAACAAACCAATGCCATTCTAAATCCAGAAAAAGACAGTGATAAATGTTACCAGTAATCTTCTACTTAACTTGTATTATCAAATAACAGGAGAAACAGAATTGGTTATCTAGTTACTCCATGTATAAACACTTCAAACTATGCATTTCTCCTTAACATCTTAAAAGTCTTTGAGGACTAGTTTCACAAGCAAAATTCTGTGTTCCACATAAATACTCTGACTTCCAATTCAGACATTCACATACTTCGCTGAGAATACATTAATACCTCCACTCAAAAAGGAAAATATCATCCCAGTCTTTCAGCATGGAACTAGGATATATATACACACACTTAGCTTACTGATCACATTCCTACATATCACTGTAATTGATCTTTCTGTATGTGGGAACTAATCTTTGTACCTTATCAAAGAACATCTGTTAACATTGGTTCCTTTTTCATTCACCCCCTCTCCTTGATATGTCTTATGTCTTACTGTAAGTATTCATGTGACAGCTCTTTGTGCATTACAAGAACAGGTAGGGCCTACAAACAGACATGAAAATTCCTTATCCAGGCTATGTGCACAAGCTGTATCTTTCACTAGAAATCAGTAAGGATTTCAGACTGCCACCAAAATAAGACACGTTTAAAAGTAGTGACGAAAAGATTTAAAACACACTTGTACAGTTAAGTGCCCAATTTTTATAACTGTAGTTTAATGATTATTCATCTTTAGGTATATTGTGCAAACTGCTGAAACAATCACAAACATTTTCCAATTCTGTGAACCTTTACCTCTATCGTAGAATCCTGGAAAGATGACTTCCTGCCTATAAGCAAAGCAAGGAAGAAATAAATAATGTGATAGCGCTGTCACTGTCAGTTCATTTTAAGGCAATAAGATACTTAGGAAAAAGAATAGGTCTACATCTACAATTTATCACATTTTAGTAATAATACTAAACATATACTCTGTTATCCTTAGGCATATAAACCGATCAGTCTTCTAGAAGCAACCATCTATATCTTAACATGACAAAACAGGAAAGCCGTGACAGAGAGGACAATATAATTTTGAGATGTATTTTCACATATATATTGCATAGAGATTGTATCCAATTTTATGGTAGTTGTCACCCACTTAATTTTCACATACACAACACTGCTTAGAGCATCTTTCAATTCAAGTTTCAGAAAACTGTGTAAAGCCACCCAACAGTTTCTTCCTCCCAGTCTCCACAGGACAGGTTGATTAAAAGTGCATTCTAGCAGGCACCATCTACTCCACTTCTTAAAGGTAACATCAATATTAAATAATACATTGGTCCCCAGATTGTGGAAATCAGTGAGGGGAAGCATAATAAACTAGAACTGCCCTGTCTGAAGGTAGTTCAGAAAAGGAGAAAGTACAAAAGTACTGAAAGAAGAGCTACAAGGGAGACTTCTGAGATGCCCATCTTTGATATACCTGGATGTGTATTTTACAGATCCATTTCATCACAACAAAGCTGGCAAGTCCAGCAATATTATTCTCTATATAAAGAACAGAGGTGTGTTCTACACACCCAGTGCCAGAAACTTTTACAGTAGTCTTAAAATTAAAGAGAACAGTTTTGTAATACAGTGTGTAACTACAATTTTCACATGGAAGTTTCTGCCCAGTCTGTACCTTTACCTTGCAAGCTCCAAGCTAAAGTAATTTTGAATATGTTTCATGTGTGATTTGAAACCAAATTATATAAAACACTTCAGATCCAAATTACTGAGGGTATCATAAGCCCCTCCCCAAAATAAAGTCTGACTGCTGTACATGCCATTCATAATATTTAAGACTCAAACTGAAATTCCCTCAAATCAAGTAATTTATTCCAATTTCAGTGATATTTTTCTTCCTCTTTGCCTGCTACATGAAAATTATTAGATCTGTAGAACATCTTTAGGGAAGCTAAACAAACCAAGCACTACTAATACTTTGCAATTTGTATTTCCAGTATACCCATCATATATCCAGTTCTTCTCGTCATTACAGCATTTCATTTGCAAGAAGGAGCAGTCTCCCTTTACCATTCAGAAATCATTCTGTAGCAGTTTTCACTGTGTTCTCAGTTTGTCTCCCTTCCCCTCTCCTCTACAACCACAGCTTATACTTTTATTTTAGCTGCATCGCAGTTGATGCACTACATTTTACATTGAAGTATTTGGGCAGCAGGACCCAGCCTCATGCAAAGGCACATGGTAATATTTGTCAGGCATCATCACTTAAGGCAACCTGAGATCTGAAATGATTTTCCGTAGTGAATATATGCCTCCAGGAAGCATCACTAAATCTGAATTAGATAGTCTTCAGCAGTACATATATAAACACATCAAAATATTATATTCATTCAGCAAATTATCTTTGCAGTAGAAGAGTAAACTCACAGAATTACCAACCAGCACATATAAGAATTTTGGCATTTGTTACTTACTTGGTGATTTTTTCTGGCTCAGCTTCAAAATAGGTTTTGTCATTTTGGGCTTCTTGACAAATGTCCCAGCAGGTTTGTTATATGACTGTGGTACCATTTTTCTCTTTACTCCTCTTGCAGCAACTGCTGCAGGACTGGGTTTGTTGTGATAGTCAACAACAATTCCAGGTCTGTGCATTCCTCCAAAGTCTCCCATATGCTGAAAATTTGTTAAATCAAGAGAAAGGTATTAGTATATTAAATCAATAGAAATATAACATTTACTCGGTACAATAAAACCATGAAGTAAAATCTGCATTCTAGAGCAAAATGCAGGGGAAATATAAGCTCCCAGCTCAATGTTGTGCTCTGCAATGGCTTCGTGGATGTCTGTCCAGTAGAATGAACACAGATGTATAAACTGTGTTTCTGCTTATTCAGAACCATTGTCCAGATAATGAACATGTCTAACAGGGTAGGTACCTCAGCCTAATACCTTGGCTCCTCTCTTCAGATTCCCTAGATGATAAACAACTTCCCCCTTTGCAAAAAGAAAAACAGAGCTAACCAACCTACTTCAGAGAGCAGCCGTTAAAAATAAAGTTGTTTAAATAAAGTTTTTTTTTAAAAAAAAGCTTCTTTATGCCAAATGATTGGCAGTGATTTAAAAATTAAGTAAAGAAGATTGGCCAGTGTGGAACAGTGATTAATTCACAGAAGCTCATTCTATCTTTCCACTGAATTCAGTAAATTAATAACGTAAAAACTTGGCCTGGAGGGAGCGATACAAAAACACGGCAGCAGTGGAAATGAAAAGTCAGTTGAAAGACGAAACCTTTCTATTATCCCTAACACAATTCCTGTGCACATTTCTAAAAGTGCTGTGGATGCCTGCTTACAAAAGTTACCTCTCTGACATCATGCAATAACTGTGTAATCTGAAGAGGGAGAATATAGCTGACTGCAGTGTTTACAAAAGCTCTAATGTACTACTTAATTTTAACACAATTATTGAATTAATAAAGGGCAGACGAGCACCCACTGACTGGATGGGTGACTTGGATAAGCAGAAATATTTCTACTGACATGAAAAGAGAATTAGTATTACGCTATCAAAGTTAAAAGAACATAAAAATAACTTCAACATAGTTTGTGAAAAGCATGATTTGCTTTTTTAAGCAAATTTTAAATGACAGAATGTACCAAACCAGAAACTTTTCTTAATGAGTCCATGCACAAGATCGCCATGTTAATTTATTTAGTTGAGATAGTTACAGAACTACCTAACATGTACATTTACACTGTATGCATAAATTTGACATGAAGTATGCACTTGGATAATTTCAATACCTGTTTTTTAACAGTCTATCTATTAAAGGTGCAATGCATTTTACATCTGGCAAGTAGTTTAGCCTTTACATTCTATTACATAAAAGACTGAAGAGATATATTTCAAAAGCAGAACAAAAAAGAAATAAGGCTACTTGGTTGTAACTGCACAAAACTTTCAGATCTATATGAGTTCTGAAAGGATGGCATCCAAGCTTAAGAACCTAATGCTTTCAGCTTTACCAGAAGGGAAATATAAAGATTAGAACCTATTTCTCACACAATGCTATATGCTAGCTAGCAGCCATGTGCAAATCTGAGCTAAAACTTTCATATGGCAACTAGAATACTCAAGAATGCTGTGAAGGAGACTTTCTGGAACAAAACCACCATACAATTAGGCACTTAAAGGACCCAGTGAAAATAACCTTCCTCTATACTTCAAGCTACAAACAAGTTGCATGGCTGAACATTAAAGAATTGCTTTCCAAAGAAATATGGCACACTTAAGAATTTAAAAGATAAGTTACACCTAGAGGCACAGGCAGAAAAGTGTTCACTGAACATTTTGTGCTTGAAACAATCATAATTGGGATTATAAAACCAAGATAAAGGGACACCATCAACTTAGTTTATTCTTCTGTCCAGATTTCTTTTATTTCCTTCTGTTGTATACTTCCCCCTCTCCAGCCCATTTAACATCAAACATTACTTCTCCAAACTGTGACCCACTATTTTGTGTACAGTTAGTCTTCCTGTTTCTTGGTCATACAGTTTTTACATCTTACATTGGAAAGGAATCCACTGAAAAGGAGTTAGAACATAAGTCTTCAAAACAAAAGGAATACAATTAACAGGACTAGGCACATTATTTGGAAATTAATCTTAATTCTGTGAAAGGACCTGATTTCAAGTTGATGGCATTCCTTTAACCATGCTTTAATTTTGAGAAAGAACCACTGTAACTGCAACCACCCACCTTTGCCATTTCCTCCCCATCACCCTTCCAATACACAAGTCAGTGTAAGAATTAAGTTAAAAAGAAGACTTGATGTTTGATAAAGCACATGTTCAACATAGTACAGAATTAACTAAGATTTTCCTTTACAGGAAACAAAAGCTACTCTAGCATTCACAACTTCTGTTTTATTTTTTGCTTATACATTGCACCTTTAACCTACTCAAAACTTCAACAGACTTTGAATTAAAACTTTTACAATATCCAAGAATTTCCCCACTAGCAGCAAAGATGCTAGTGTTTACAAGGAAAAATGCAAGTCCTTTTAATCCCTTTTAGACCAAACCTATTATCTTCACCTTTCAAACAAAAGGAGAGATTTAACAAACCTTATCAACTAGTCTTCTATTACTCATTACTTTCAACAGAAAGAGGGACTGGGTTCTACTTGAAGACAGCTTCAAGGGGGTAAACATTGTCAACCATGACAGTTTGCTTAGACAAAAAAAAAAAAACCACACTGTACCGAACAGTGCATTCATTTTAAAGCAGTGGTCTTGAAAGGGTTTAAAAGAGTGTCTAGTGAAAAGAATCTGAAAAGATTCTGTACTTACTCCTCGGCCTCGGCCTCTGCCTGTTGATGGTCCTCCAAAAGCATCATAGTTTCTGCTTCCAAATCCACTTTCAGGATAAGCAGGCGTTCCTCTCCCCCGAGAGCCTACAGGTGCAGGCTTCATATGGGGTGAAGAAAAACTGCTGTAGGAAGAGTAACTCTCTCTTCCTCTGTCCTCCATAAACCCAGGCCTCAATTTTGAACGGGAGTAAGGTGCTTCCCAGCTAGACCCGCCCTGGTTTCTACCTCCGAAAGAGTCAAGGCTATTCCGGTAGGAGTTGTCAAATCGACCACCATAACTACCTCCGAAGCGGCTTTGTTCGGGTTCATTATAACCATAGCCAGATCTGTACAGATCTCGCCCACCCAGAGAAGACCCGGAGTCGTAAGACTCATAAGGTCCAAACCTGGAAAAGTTGCACAGTGAGGAGAAAAAAAAGTAAGCTTACTAATGTTATACATTTCAAAAGACAAGTTATCAGTTGACATTTATCAACTAAAATCAATTTATTACTATACTGGTCCGTACAATTGTGTTATTATTTAAATCTTGATTAGGGCTGGGCAAATCACACTATGACCAGATAGAAAGCTATCTGAGCCATTTTTGCTAGGAACAATTCTAAAGTTCAGTATGCCTGAACTTTGTTGACTTAGAATTTTCAGCAACATTCATATACTAAAACATTAGAGCCCAGCCCTAGTCTCACAAAAATAATCACCTGCAGACATTCATAGGCTAGTCAAGCTCTCCTTTCTTCAAAATCATGCCCTTGTATTCTAACAGTTAAACAGCAGTTAAAAGGCAGCTTAGCTCTGAACTGAGGAAGAAAAGAACATTTTTTTAGTGGTACAGACATGAGTCTTAAACACCCACAGTTCTACTTTTAAAGGAAAAAGGCACATGCTCTCCCATTCGTATCTGTACTTTTCGGAAATCTTCCCTGTAAAATTCTGTCTCCCAATCAAAAGAGTTCATGACTGTCCTTCTTTCACTTACAGCCCATTATCAACTCAGGATTTTGAAAGTCTACCCAATGCATGCACAGTGGATGTGAAAACAGTCCTTGGAATTTTGGAATAGAGTAACAAGGAGCTGAAATCTTTAGCTACTGACCCAGAGTTTGCTTTGCCTGGTGAAGAAGGGGAGGATTGTCAGGCTAGAAATCATCAGTATTTGTAACCACACGGAAGGGAAACACATTAGTGTCCCTGCAGAGTTAAAATAGGGTGATTCAGTAGGAGCTGGGAAAGACAACCCCTTGACTGATAAAATATAAACTAGAAGAGACTGAAATTAATAACAGTATCTACAGTAAGCTGAATGTCTTCACTTTAGAACATGTTAGTCTCAGAAGACCCAAAATTACACTATCTACAAATACGGCCCATGCACAATATTAAAGTTACATGACAAGAAACATTTTTGTGTTCAAATAGTCATTCAGCCTCAATCATATGCAGATTACTATATGGTAGGTACAGCTCATTCCTGAATCTCTGCTCAGACTTTTAAGTCGATCTTGTTCATCATTAAACAAATTATACTTAACTAGAAAGTTTAACAGAACCGTGCAGCAAAACACAACACTTCTCCAACCTCCCTGCTTAGTACTGTCCTTGCCCAGTGGCACCACAGTGACTACAGACAAGAATCATACAGTAGTCTGGCTACAGCCAAACAAGAGTTCAAGGGCGCACACAAGAAAACCCTCAGATTGTCTAAGTTTTCTTCACATTTTATTTCCTCCAAGATAGAATCACTACTCTGAAAAGCATGCTTCTTGAAATACAATATTAAGACCTAAATCAAATCAGCTGCTCCCTACTGTTTTTACCTGAAAGAGCAACAGTAGTAGTATCCTAGAATTAAATACGCAACTTTAAAACCACTGCATCAGAATTTATGAGACCAATCCATCTTACAAAGCAGCCTAGAACATGCACACTGTTTTGAGTATAATCAGTACCTTCCAATGAAATAATCTGGACATGACTTTCAGATTCAATACCACGATCATTTGAGCACTGCACATTCAAACCGAAGAACATATACCCTAAATGTTCCTTGAAAACGGAATGTTGATAGATTCAGTCTAAGGCACTAAACCAGACAGGTCTAGTTGGCTATGTCAGAAATGGTACGCCAGGCCAATCAGTTACAAATTGCTAGCCATTACTGAAAAAGAACACTTTTTCCATTTTCATTGAAAGACGCATTGTTTCACTGTCAAACTTTTCCACAAAATGCTGATTATGACAAGAATCTAGCTCTTACACTTTAGTGTTTGCCAGTATTTACTGAAGACGAAGACTCAGAACGAAAGTGTTTATACAAAATCGTAACAACATGCCTCAGGAACACTTAAGTTAGAAGACAACAGTTTCAACTTAAACTGGATTTGATCAATTCTTGGGACAATCGAGGGATTATTTTACCTGTTACCACCACCACCACCTCCTCCGCCTCCACCTCCATGACTCTCCATCCCATAGGATTGGTTAAGGTAAGAGTCCATGGATCGTGGGCCACCATAGCCTCCATGCCCATAATCACGGTCCATGTCTAAAAAGAGAGCAGAAAAATGTTTATAAAGAAAGCAAGCAAGAAGTCTTATTAATTAAACTAGTTTAAATTCTTCACAATGTTTACAAACAAAACTGCAAGTTGCAAACCAATTTTGACACTGTGCTTAGGGAAGCTGTGTGTCCATCATAATCCGAGCACCTCTTAACTGAGGTCAAGCTCGTATCTTTTTTCCCAGTAGTGGGTAATTGTTCTATCAGCTGGAATTCAGACACAAGTTAATTTAAGAGAATTAAATGAAGCAGCACAACGTAGATTATGTCAGAAGTTAGTGGAGAATTAACACCATTCCCACACTTTAACAATACACACAGCTCACAGGCATCTGCTTTCACTATCCAACATCATGAGAAACCTTCACCCACACTGACAGAGACCCTCGGTCAAGGTTACAAGCTGTTATGTTGCAGTGCAGACAGTATATAGGCTACAGTCAAAGAAAAGAATTTTCTCCACCTAGCACAAACAAAAAAATCCACCCAAATCAGTACTGAGTCGCAGCTCACTAACAGCGCTAAGATGTTGGTATTTCGGAGCTGAACTGATGTCACGCATGACATCTTTATATCTAGTAATGAAGCCTGGTAAAAGAACCAACTTCTTTCTCAACACTGGAAGTCCTATGTAGAAGTTCTGGTTAACTAACCACAATTCAAAACACTGAAACAGTGCCACAGATACGCCTAATGATTATTATCCACTGTCTCACTTAACAAACACAATTTGCACTTCACTGGCATTCAAGTGACCAAAACTGCTGTCCAGTACCAACCAACAACAACTTTTGGCTAACACAAAGAAAGCCTGGCAAGTCAAACCTCACAGAGAAGGAAAACACAGTAAACAGAGGAAGAACAAAAACAAAAGCACACAGACTTGTCCACTCTAACCAGAGAGTATTTATATATTTCAGAATCTCCAACTGTAAACACTAACTTTTCCAGAAGATAACAGGCCAATAAGCTCACCTGAAGTCAGAAGAAAATGTTCCTGTTTAAAGAAACACAGTCATTCCCTGCATATCATTCCATGAAAAACACTGAACTGATGAAAATAAGTACACATTCTAGTTCCTGTTTGTACCAGCTTCTTGTTAGCACCAGGCAGCCATTGTAATTTACTTTCTTACATCTGTCAACAAGAATTCTGCACATTCTGTATTGGAGCTGACTGTATCACTTTTACACAGATGTCCTTAGCATGCCCAAATGCTACAAAATTCCAGCAAAGTAAGATCTGCTGACTTTTTTTTTTCCTTCTAATGATTATAGACACTTTCTAAAACCATCTAAAATATTTCTAAAACCTTTGAATATGGAAATCACATCACAACTTCGCACATTCTGAACAGACAATAAAGACACTGCAGCAAAGTAAGGTAATCAATAAAATTCAGTTTCACAAAAACTAAGGTTGGATGATCTCATGGTCAATCTCTGATCCAAAGAGGGCTTTGTTTGATTGTTTGGGTTTGTTTTGTTGTTTTTTGTTTTGTTTTAATGATACAGTATATATAATCAAAAGACACTGACATTCTGAAAACTGAAATATCTGACCTGCAAGCACCCAACAGTTTACCCTTTGTTTCACCTGCTCCTTATTATCTACAGACCCTGAGATGGAACAAAAGTAACTAGGTTAAGTGCTGAAGAGGTGAAACAAATCATTCAACAAGGAAGAACATAACATACTGTCAAGATCCCTGCCACTGCAACCCAATTCTACTACAGTGTAGTAAACTATACTGTAATAGAACAGCGACCAGTACTCTTCATATGCCAGAAGTTCACCAGTGGGAAAAAAACATTCACACACAAAAGAACTCTTCCAAAGACAGGTTTGAAGTACAGCCTTGAAATTAATTGTTAGTCTAAAAGTTTTAGCATGACAGCAAACACTAAAATATGTTTTACAATCACAGGCTAACCTCCGACATCCACTTTTGCTCAACATTCTCCTTACTCATCCATGTTCATGTCATTTAACACCAACAGTCTCGCTGTAAAGTTATGCCAGTCCCCAAATCCTTAAACCACTGCCTTTAGAACACCACCACTTCCTCCCTAACAGTGAGCAACTTACTCATCCTTTCCAGACCCACTGCGCTGCATTTAACCAAATTATAATACACTCACATTTGAAAAGGTTTAACAGGGATACAAAAGATACTGAGAAATGAAGAGGGTTGATCACTTGCATCATTTTCTATTACAAGAAACTGGAACAAATGAAACTTAAAAATGAGCTAAAAACTTAACTGGATCCTTTTTCACAGAACACTGCTCTGTGACAAGAAGTTACTAGAAATTTACATGTATTCAAGAGAAATTGGATAAATCCACTGACAACAAATTCAGAGAATGCTGAACACAGACTACAACTCTGGTTCAGAAAGCCTCCAAGCTGCAAACTAGTGAAGGCACATATATATACACCAAAGGGGTACTTGTACTATTCCTTCCACATCTACAGACAGACAGCAACATACAGGATATTGGTGAGGTGGGACAGACACATCTTTGATGTGACCTAACAAAGGTGATGTTATGAACTCCTTCTGACTATCGCATTAACTGTTCTAGGTTGCTGAGAAGTTAACCTGTCCAGCCACTGGCCTCCTGGTTCAGTCATTAAGTCAGCTGTTAACTTTGCTGAAGATTTATAAATTTTATACTTCATGCCCAGAGCTTGACAAAGACACTACATTCAAATAAAGAAGTGCAGCACTTCTTTGGGACTTAAGCTTTTCTTTGCTCTACAGTCTGCTCTCCAGATAGGCTTTATCCTAAAAAGAGGGGAAACATACAAGCAGACAGTAAATACTCACCTAGGTGAACTAAAATAAAAGTATTCCAATTTTTGAATGTGGTAGCTGATTAACAATCACTCACACGGCTTTAATTATTACAATCTCAAGGTAAACGGCTTGTTAGTTGACAAACCCCCCAACCACATTCATACTGGCCTCTTTTACACTTTTGATTTTTATTCTACTAACTAAAGCAAGACAGATAGATATTAAAAAAGCTTTATCTGCACTGAACAATTTCCTCTGCATGTAGCCTGCTCCCTCCACACTCGTATGTTAGCTCTGGCAGTCACCACCAGTGGAGATACAGAGAAGCTGCCTGTCTGTGCAAACTACTCACAGTAAATGTGAAATTGTTTCACATGCCAAGAGAACATGTGCTTAAGCACTAGAGAAAAAGCACCAGGAATTGTACTACATCTTAAACAGAAAATTCAAAAGTGTAATACTGAAGTTTAAATAGCAACTATGTATCAAAGAAAACTTTGATGAAATACTGTATCTGCTTTTCTATGAATACTACAGAGGGAAAAAGAAGAACATAAAGTGGTTCATATTTACCCCTGAACTGGTATTTATTTCTGAACTGAGGAAGGCACTGACAAAGTTTCTGAAAAAAATAGTTGGCTGAATGAATAGACCAGGCTTTGATATCTGTAGCTCTTGCATAGAGTGCGGATGAATAAGCTGTTAAAGTACACAAACAGAACTGCAAAGAATGATTTCATTTTTCATTGCAAGATCATACATAAAAAGTATTGGGGTAAGGGAGAGGGGATAAGAGTTGTGTCAAAGGGGAAAAAAATGTATTACTTCTAACATAAAAAAGAACGGGACACTAAAAGAACGGGACACTAAAAGACAAGTTCAATTTACATATTAAAACATTAATATGAACATATGCCTTCAGGGAAAAAAAAATTAAAAAAGCCGTATCTGGTAAAGAGATCCTTTAAATTTTTCCTTAGGAAGACTACTAGGAAGTTAAACATGTAGTAGATAAGACTCAGAATCCTTTGGTACAAAGAACTCTATTTAAAAGATTCAGATCAGAAAATGTTGAAATGATGTTTACAGCACAAAGCAACAAAATCATTTTCAGTGTTCTCCATGTGGAGCATATGAAAAGGCTAAGAAGAAATGAAGAACATCTTGCATCTTTAATTTAGTTAAGTATTAAATTAAAAAAGAAACTTCAATAAAATAAAAATAATATTTAAACAATTAAAAAAAAAAAAAAGAAGTACCAGCTTGAAACAAGCTGTATTTCCTATATTTTGTAACCAGAATCGACAATGACCACAACAAGCTTAAGGATCCATTGCGTAAGAGTAAGCAACATTTTTTTCAGGCATACTGCATTTTTCAGAACACCATGCCTACTTTAAGATCACAACCTCATCATTAGTTAGAAAAGTTTTAACACATCATTGAATCCTATGCAGAACAAGGAAACAATCCAACAAAGCAGATGAATTTTAGGAATAGCAGCAAAAGCCCTTCCCCCTTCCGAATTAAAAGGACACTAGTTACAGTAATCAAAATATTAACATGCTATTAATATTAACAGAATTTATTCTACAGGCCATGTCATCTCTGTCTCAAACCAAGTCATCCACCAGCAAGGAATAGTGGAACTACAGCAGTCATCAGCCATCCAATAAAAAGTGCTTCACACTGGCTAGAAGTTTCCAACAGGAAGAACTGCGCCAACAACTCAAAAACGGGCAAAGATGAAAACTCTCAACATCCATCCTCTATTGCCATCTACTGGACCCCTGCAAAACAGCCTTTAGCCCACTGTACAGAATGGAAGACAAAGCTTTATGCATGCCTTACTGACGTACATACAATGCATAAACATTAACGTGAGACATTAAGCGGCATACATCATAATTAAATTGGTTTAATAATTATGAATAATAGAAAGCTTAATTATCACAATGAAAACTATTATTACAGAGGTATGCAAAAAGAACAATCTAACTGTACATATATTTGATTGGTTACTTCCCATAGGATGAGCCTGGATTCAGTTTAATACTATTGCCATCAGATCTCAGAAAAGCAGGTTCTGTTTAACAGCTACAGTGAATATTCCAATAAGATAAACTGCAACTTAAGGAAAATCTTTTCTACTAAAAAACTAGAGGATATTTAATCTGGAATCAATACAGAAGATTAAAAAAGCAGGGCCACAGCATTCGTTTCTTTGTTTTACTATGAAGTAAATGCAAAATAACATGATTGAAAAAAAAAAAAGCAGCAAGTTAAGACTCAAGGAATGTATCATCAAAATGATCATACTGCAATCAAAGGTGCATCTGTAATCCAATTTGTTATTTCTGTGTAACAGTCAGCAAGAGTATCAAGAGATACAACAGTAAACATTTGAGATGTGTAAATGAAGCTTATGGTCAAGTTTTTATATTAACACCCTTTTAGTATCTGCTTGCATCCTAGCAGGAGATGTCAAAACATTTCTTGAGTCTTACTAACTCATAACCTTAATAAATCTTACAAATACATATGCATTTGTTTTTGTTGGATCTATGTGGTATTTTTGTTAGTACAGAAATAAGAGCTAGCATCTGCTGTATCATATTTCATATGAAATATTGAAATAGTTCCTACCCATATATTTCATATTCATGTGAAAATGCTTCATATATGAAATATGAACATTTCATGTTCATATGCTATGTTAAACTTAACTAAAATGACAAAAAAAAAACCAAACCACATATCAAGCAGCTTCAAGTTCTGCTTTTCCACATCTGTATGAACAACAGAAGCAGTAAGAATCAAATACAGTAGTCCATAAGACTTGGTTTGTTTTTTTTTTTCCCCACAAAAAACACTGATTTCTGCAAATAGCATAATCATGAGAAAAGTCTGTATTCCCCCTCCCCATCCCCACTCCTTGATCTCACTAGTTTGATTTGGAACACACAGGAGTTCATGTTGACATGCCCAAGATGAAAATCAAGTCTCGCTCCCAGCCAGTCATAACTCCTCCAGAAAAGAACATGTTCAGTCAAACCACATTACTTTAATAACCCGTTTGATTATATTTTATTTATTTTTTAATTAATTTTTATTTTTAGTTTTGCTTTTGTCAACACTGACTGTTTAGCCCCAACTCTTTTTACAGGTTAGACGTATTTATAGCTCATACCTGAGACTGACCCACTGGGCATGTTCACACCACAATGCATGGGGGTATCTGGGAATCTCCAATCTCTGTCTTCAGCTGGAGAGGATGGGTCAGTGAGAATGACTTAGTTCTTAACAAGAGCCGGAGGGGAGAGACAGGGAGCCGCACCAAGAGGCGGCTCTCTCTCCTGTCGGATCTCCAGTCTCCTGACACGACCCCCTCACGGAGCTCGCCCCTACCTCCCCCCACCCGCCTCCCGCCCTCCCCCGCCGCTCGCCCCGCCGAGGGCCACCCCCTCCCGCGCAGCCCATTCCGCCCGCGCCGCCCCCCCGGGAAGACCCTCGTCCCGCGCAGCCCTCCTGCCGCCGGCCGCCGCTCTCCCGACCCGGGAGGGGCGGCGGGGAGGAGGGTGGATGAAGGGGGGGGTCCTGCGCGGAACAAAGCGGCCGCTGCCATTTTGAGACACGGCCGGGCCCCGCGGCGGCAGCAGTGGCAGCGGCCGGGCACTATCCTTCCTCTGACGAGTGCGCCCTCACCTTCCCCGTAGTCCATGGCGGCGGCGGCGGGCCTGGCTCTCCCAGACGGCGACGGCGGCAGCAGCAGCAGCACTAGCTCCGGCTTCTCTCAATGGCGCTTTCCCCCACACTAAGGAGAGGCGGGACCGGCGTGCGACACAGCAGCCACAGTGGGCGGCGATTGGCCTCGAGTCCACGTCACGTGAACAGGCCGACCAATGAGAAGACGAGACCCATGACCGGCGGCGACGTCGCGTGAAGCGCGGGGTGCCTGCGTCGCCCCAGTCATGAGGGGCGGGCTGCGCGGCGGCCATCTTGGGGCCTGGCAGCCGCCATTTTGCGTTCTGGCAGCGGGGCCTGTCAGGCGTGACCCGGGATTATTAGTGGCGAAACATCCAAACCTTTATCGTTACACTCACACCCCGCGGCGCCCTGGTGAAGTGACCACTGCAGAAAATACTCCCCTCTGTGCACAAGGACTAAAATCCGCCCTTGGGCAGAGCTAGGAGTCAGGCAGTGCCTGGCGGGAGTGAGCCTGAGGGGGTTCCCTGCAGCCCCACAGCCCTGGGTGTGAGGAGCCCTTGACAGCTCCCAAGGCGGGCTGCTGCCCTGTGCAAGCCGGGTTATGAAATAAAACGCTTATTTAAGCAACGCCACCCTTGTACTGACCCCCTTCAGTGAACCTAACCTGTGTAACAGCAGTTTATCTGTCACTCCTAAGACAAAAATGTTTCAGCACCTCTAACAGGCTGCATTGAAACACTGAAACAGGCTAAGGGTAAACACAGACTTGCATCCGAAATTGTGAGGTAACACTGCTCCTCTGGGTAGCCAGAGATTTGAGGGCAAAACTGACTTTGCCCCTGGCACCGGGGGGGGGGGAGAAGAAGTAAAGCCCTGGGTGAAGATTGCATGCAGAGTATTTATTTCCTTATAGTTTTAAGTCTCTGATGACAAGCTGTGGGTGAGCTTTCAGGTTGTGTGGGGCAAAGCCACTGACTGCTGGGGTTTGATTTTGTTGTTAAAACAGGGCTTCCAGGGCTGCTGTTGGTCTTGGGTGGCCGACAGGATGGCATCAAACCCCTCCCATTCTCGACCACCTTAAAAGTAATAAAATCCCCATGGCAGGACAGGAAGATTGTACTCCTCCAGAGTCCCAGTTCTGCATGAAAGGAGAGCTGCCGGAGGGAGAGCAGCCAGTTTCTCTCCCCGAGCTCTGGATGGCAGCAGACGCGAATGTACTCGAGCCTCAGGCTCGCTACGGCGAGGGGAGAGCCCGGGAGTCGGCATTGCTCGCTCCTGGTCCCTCTCCTTTGGGAGCTCTGCTGCCTTCTCTCCCCCAGCATTGCGGATAAATACATGCAGAGAAGTCTATTCCTTGCCAAAGGGAATCTTTCCTTCAGCTTTACCAGTGGTACGTCATGCTTTCCAGGTCCAAACAACCCCCGTACAGACCTGTTTGTGATCCATCCCTTTACACATACACCCTCCTAAGGGCCAGACAAATTTCTTGCATTGTAAGATTTATACAACAGACATTTCCCTATACATTCAGGGCTGTATGCCTCATGTTTGCAGTGTAGCAGCCTTTTCTGCATTGCTGGGTGTAGCTGTACCCTTCTTGTGAACCAGAACACATTTTGCTGCATGCAAAATAAAAGATACATGGAATTAAAAGAAATAGCATATACATGCACAGTATCCAAAGGCTATCCTAGGTAACCACTCAGTACAAATGTGCTGGGAATAAACTGGTTGTCCCAAGTAGCCTGAAAGACGCAGCATTCAGAACTGTAAAGTTCATCTCAATGCATGCTGCAGGACGAGTTGCTGAGGAATGCGCTAAAGTGGATTCTCACCCCTTTCCAGTGCTTTTGGCTGGGCCAAATGAAATGGCTAATGACAGTGCTATTGAATAAGCAGTTCTGAAGGGAGGAAATCATGCAGAATGGATAGATAGATTTGTGATCATGGTAAGAATATCTGGCTAATGGTTATTCAAAATAAACAAAAAGACCCAGGATTCGGGATTCATCTGAATCAGCTGCCAAGGGGACTATCAAAAGTGAAGATTTGCAAACCCTATAGAAGGATTCAGCAGATGAAACTCTGGTGCAACCTAAGGGGACTATTGCATAAAGGAAACAGGATTTATAATGGAGTGTCTGAGAGGGAAACACCGGGGTTGAACAGGAGACTGCTAAAATGATACAGGATTATTGTGAAATGTTTGGGAGAAAGGCCAAAGACAAGGAAGCGAGGAACAAAACAGACTGAAGTAGACTGGAGAGGGGGAATAAAAATAACTGTTTTGCACATAAGCAGGCTGCTGATCAATACGCTTGTGTGGCTGAACCCTGTGACTTACTGCCACTGCTTGTCTCATGTTTTTAAGTTCTGGGTTTAGCTGTTTTCCATGTGACCGTGTTCACAGTTCCGTGTCTGTGCATGTGATCTGCTCATGAACTCTACGCCAGACTAGCTGGTGAGTTGAATGAGCAGTCTGGCAAACAGGTACTAGAGACACTTAAAGGGGGTGCTCCCTGAACACTCAACCCGTAGAACAAAGATCAAGCTGTGCTTGCTGCCTGCGTGTGCGGTGTGGGTCTCTAAAGACAGGACAGAAGCAGGACCAAGGCACCTCACACATGTAGGATAAAGCACTTGATGCCAGAAAGTCATCATTTTTTATTTATCTTTTTAATCTCCTATTCTCCTAAATCACATTTATTTTGTGACTAATCCATCAGAATATCTACTTCTTAAAGCATACTAGACTACCAAGAGGTTAAGCCTCTATGTTTTGTCATATTAAAACTTTCACTGCAACAGGTTGGAAGCAGCCCCTGAAGAAACCAATGATAGTTTAAATCAGAGGAGAGGTTCATACAGCATTCAGGAAGCTCCCAACTGGGCCCATGCACAACATGGAAAGGTTACTTAGAATTCATATGTCATGATGAGAATTACTGCTATCCTGTGTGTCGTTTCACCAATCTGAGAAAGTTACTGACAGCAGAGGTGGTTGTTATGGGGACAGCAGTCTGTCAAAGAGAAGAGGGTATGTGACAAAGAGAACAACCAGTTATGAAGAACTTGCTGTCATACCGACAGGCACTTCAGGCACCAGACAGAAGAGGAGGTGCTTTCACATGCAGCCTTCCAAACACACAGGGCATTTTTGGGCTTGTAAAGCATACTGTCCCAGAATCATAATCTCAGGGAGAAGAAACGGGATCCTGGAGGCAGACCAGGGCTCTAGCAGTTACAACATACAATTTTTTGGATTCAATACAAACAGGTCAGCTAAGCGTATTATTTTAGACTTAATTGTGATCAATGGGCCACTGTTGGTTTCAGGCTTTTTAAAACAAAGGCTCCTTCTTTCCTCCCTGCAGGGCTCCTAAAAGGAAAAAAAAACCTAAGCTAAGCAAAGCAAAGCAAAATGGAGACATAAAATGAGAAAGGGAACAGACCAGCATTGTACTTCATTTGTTCTCGATGATCCAAAACATGGATGTTTCCGCTCAGTGTAGAATCACACTGTGCAATCCCATTCTGCTCTTGAATGCACGTTTTGCTGCTTCCTTGGGCTTGTCTTCTTCTTTTTGTAAATTCTTCAGGGCAGTACAGGGATAAGAGAACAATCAGTGATTTCTCTGAGCACACACAGCAGCATGGCTATTGTGAAATACAGCTCTTCTGTAGTTCGGTACCATAAGTACCCATACCCTCTCCTTCTCTTTCCAAGTGCTGTGTTTTCTGCTACTCTTTCATTTAAAACATTGTCTAAAACCTGAAGAAATTCTGTTCACATGACTCTCAATTGCTGCTAACAGTGGTTAGCAACCAGCTACTAGCAACTGCGGAGGCCTAACACTAACAAATCCTGTGTATTTCATTGCATTAGAGGTGATTTATCTCATTGACAGTAAGGGGGAAAGGGGATCTTCTGGCCTTTGATGAAATCTCTCTGTTCCTTAACTCTGTTTAGAGCAGCAGTCATTGCCATAATATTTACATCTATAGGAACACACCTCTCCAACAGCACATCTCTCCAGTGCCATTAAAACAGCAATCACAGCAGTGGCATATATAATTTTTAACATACATCTCCACCGACACTTGATGTTTTCAGAACATAGCTTTCTTTGTGTTTTAGGGTGATGGAGAGTGGGGCAGGAACATGAAAACTGCATGGATTCTTTCTAGAACATGAATTCTAATTCCTTTTGTTTCTTCTTAGATATTAACACAGAAGCAGATCATTCCATCTGAGCCTCACAGAAGAACCATGGTAACCATCCAGAGCCATGCTGATTTCAGTGGGCTCTTATGTCTGTCATCCCAGCATAAATCAGAGCTGTCATATGGGATTTCCAAATCTGAAATATTATGGCCTTTGGATGTATATATATTGTACAACACAAATAAAAAAATGCCCTAAAATTCAGCAGGAGGGAGTGGAAACATCCTAATGCAGAAACATACTTATCACGTTATCCTTTCCTACAGGGAAAAAAAGCCAAAACAAAACAAACCAACCACCACTCCCCAACAACACTGAGAATACAGATTGAGTCAGTCAAACTTGACAAACTTCTTTGTCTAGCTCCTTTACAGGAAAGACCAGAAGCTTTCAGATGTGCCACAGCACAGACTTGCTGGAGATTGTGTGCTGCTATGGCCCTGCTGGAGCCCCATCAGCATCCGACAAGCAGCAGTGGGCTCTTGCTGGACAGAGTAATTGCTGTAACTTTTGGGTCACCGTGGAACACAGAAGTGAGAGTAGCAGAACCCATTTCAGGCTTTGGTCTGGGTTTTGGCACGATTTCTAACTGCCATTTGATTGGGAATAGAGAGAGAATTTGGTTGGGAATAGAAAGAGAATATCAGCTCAGTATTACACAGCCTTAGAGGGAAAAGGATCTTTGCAGAGCAATTTATTGGTAATTGGCACATTATCAGTGAAGTGTCTCACTTTTCTTGCATGCAAACACTTATGAGCAATTACACTTATTGCTTTTTAGCTTTACAACTTATTTTTACTTTACATTCCTTGGAGGCTAGCTCCAGTGATGATGTGATCTTGGAGGGAAGTGCTGCTGGGGGTGTGTAGGGCTGTTTGCCTCCATAGTGAGCGAGTCAGAGCTGTGCAGGTGCCCTGC